GGGGTGCTGCTCCCTGCACCGGCACGCCGCGGCTGGGCGGACCGGCAGAGTCACCCGGCGAACACCCAGCCCTCGGTGAGCACCCAGCCCTGGCGAGCGGAGGTTTGGCATTCCTCAGGTGCTGACAGCCGGGGAGCCGGTCGGGCTGGTTCCCCAGCAACCCAGCTCCTCCATTTCCTGAGACTCAGCAGCGCCGGTCGGGGGACCGGCCCGCCTGGGTTGATGAGGCCCCCAGAGCCCTGCCGGGCCACCTTGGTGGGACCTTTGTCCCATCCCCCGCCTCCTCCCACCACCGGGTCCGTCCCCAGTGATACCGGGTGTCCCGTGGCTGTGATCACAGCTGAATTCGTTGCCAGGACTCAAAGCACGTGGCACACAAGGGGACAGGGTGATCACGATGGTCATCCATCATCCCTGTGCCATAAACGCTCCGCTGCCCCCAGGGGGACAGAGCAGTGATCGCGGTGGCCCTGGGCCACCACAGGAGACATGGCCCGGGGTGTGGGCTGTACTGTCCTAGAAAAGCTCGGGCAACGGCACCGGCCCTGGCTCCTCGCCTTGCCTCGGCTCCCAGCCTCGTCCTGGGCCGCCGCCCCCGAGTCCCCACTGGCTCAGTGCACATAGCCACCATCCTGGGGACGCTGGGGCACCCTGCACCTCGGCCAGTAGTTTCAGGGTGGGATCTGAGGAGCTCACAGTTCTGCTGTCCTCCACCCGCTGACACTTTGCCTGTTCGAGTTGGACTCTGCCCTGCTTGTCCCCATTGCAGGGTTGTGAAACCCCTGGGAAAGTCACACTGTGGGGTCTGGGATGGGGTCCCCAGCACAGGAGATTCTGGGAGCAAAGGTTGGTGCTGTGCTGGAGCTCCTGGAGGAGATCAGCGCCGGTATTTGGAGAGCAAACAGGGCCCTGGGATGGTGGCAGCATTGTTACAAAGGAAGGAATTTTTATTGAATAAAACTATAGGAATAATGCCAGCTGCCTTCCCCAGCTCTGCAGCGGGGGGGGGGGGGGGGGGGAGGGCGGGACGAGCTGTGGCACTGTGGCAGTGGCACAGTGTGAGCTCAGGTTGCTAGAAATGAAAGCAGCCAGGAGAAAAGCACGGGCATGAGTCACATTTTACAGGTAAGGAAGCTGAGGCACAGCTGGAGAAGGGATACGAGAAGGGGAAGAAAGAGCAGCCATCTGGGTTGACCTAAAGCCCAGCCGCATCTGCAGTGAGTTTCCAGCTCTCGAAGGGGCTGAGCACAGGGCAGTGCCTGCAGCAGCCATGGGGCTTAGAGGCGGTGGGCTGTGAATGGTCTGTGGGGTAGCACCTGGAGGAGGAGGAAGAAGAGGAGAAGAAGAAGAAGAAGAAAAAGAAGAACCCCTTTTGCCATTTAGGAGGAAAGGACAGGGCTTGCTCTGGCCTGCTGGAGGCTGCTACCTCTGGAGGGGCTGCCTCAGAGGACAATCTCTTTCAACTATTGATTTCCCTTTATCAGAGAGCAGGAATATGTATGGGGCTGAAGTCCTGATCAATCCCTGCTCTGCAGCCAATCGATCAGAGCTGCCCTGGGGCTTTTATCAAAGGGAGCTGGGGTGCAAAGTGGAGCCCATGGACCTGATCAGGACCCCTCACTCCGGTAGCATAATTCTGTTCCCCTCCCACCCCACGCAAAAAGTGGGAAGCGTGGCATGACGACAGGCCCTGAGCAAGCACTGCTCATCCTTGCATCAAAGTATACTGATGCCAAGGGAGTGCTTTTGGAGTGCTGGGATTCCCATGTAGAGCATCCCTGGGAGCACACCTGTGCGCTGCGCCGGTTGATACATCCCCACCATTGGTGTTCCCACCAATGGGAGGTACCTGACAGTCTCTCAATCACAGCGGAGCTCATTAGGGGCACCGGCCAAGGGGGAGGAGCAGCGCCACAACCTCAGTTATTGATTGCTTCGTAGCCAAAGGTCAGCGGCATGTGCACAATGCCGGGAGGAGGGAGGTGGGTGGCACCAGGGTGGCTGGGGACCACGCCATGTTGTCAAGCACCAGCTTTGGGATCCCTGATGTCCCTCAGTTTCCCCAACAGAAAACTGTAAGAATTGGGGTGAGTTGGCCACACAATGGTTGTCAGCACCCACTGGGGCTGTGCTGATGGGGAGAGAGGTGGCAGTAGGCTCTGTATGTGCAGCCAGGAGGGCTAAGCCCAACGGGATGGGCAGGGGGACAGCTTGATTCACCCCAAAGCGGGCTCTGTACCTTTCTGATCATCACATATTTGTGCTGCCAATGCTGGGAGGTGACACCACAGAGGCAACCATTGAGGCCAGCCGTCAACCTGACCCACAGCACCAAAAAGACACCAGTCCCCATGTTTGCCACATCTATACCCCATACAACTGGTTTCACATGGCCCCCAGGCCTCATCCTTTGGGGCTGGGAACCAGTGGGCTGGGTGGCTCAGTGGTGCCTGGCACTGGGTCGGGCACTGCTGTCTCTCACCCCAGCCGTGTGCATAGGGGAAGATTTACCGTCTGTCAGAGCCGGGGCCAGAGGTCAGCAGGGGTCAGAAAGTCCATTTCAGAGAGGTCACTGTCCACTTCTTTCAATCTAATGAAGCCATTATTTGTGAAAGCGGACGCTTTGCGGGCTATTCCCTTGAAGCGGAGCCAGGCGCAGCGACTGGCTCTGAAAGAACAGGAAGGAGTCCCCTTCTCGTTCACATGTGCCATTCAACAGGCCCCAAAAACAAATACACCACACACGGAAAGAGGACGCCAGGACAGGGGGCGGATAGGACAGATCCCAGTAGGACACTGCCTGGAGGTGCTGTGCTAGGGGTTGTGTAATTGGGCGGTCACCGAGGATGGGCAGAAACTGGGGACTGTTAAGAGATGGTGTTGGCAGGAAGCAGGGGAGGAAAGAAGTGACAAGAAAGAGCACACCAATTTTTTATTTTTATTTTCTCACTCCACACCCATATCCAAATAATTCTGCAAAGGAAAAAGAGAATCAAACGAGCTGCCTCAGGTTGGCCAGGAGAGGGTGCCAAACGCTGCCGCTCCCTTGGAAAGTTCCCGGAGCAGCGATCCCAGGAGCAGGGAATGGGGAACACAGCAAACCGCTGCGTGTTGGTGGGAAGCGGGGATGGAAGTGGCACAAAGAGGTCCCCAAAGAGCGGGGGGGGGAGGGGAGGGGAGACGACAGGGAGCTTGGTCGCTTATGATGGCACATGGCGAAGGAATAGAAAGACTCTCCATCTGTCCTTTCTGTTGCCATAGTGGGTGGGAGGAAGAGCATCCAGCCAGACTCTTATCTCCTACTACAGTAGATTGCTCACTGTCTCTGAGGACTTGACTCAAGAATGGTGTTGGGATAAGAGACTTGTTAGTGTGGATTCCCCCCACCACGTCTATCCCCGTTGTCACTGGTGTAAAGATGATGGACAACCTATGAGCATCACTGCATTATTAACACCGCTGCGTGCTGGTAGCAGTGCCTCCTGCTCTGCCCATCCCCGCTGCAATGAGGTCATTGGGGCTCAACTGGCTGCGGGCACCAGGGCTGTGTCCTCACAACCACCAAGGCCCAGTTCACCCACCTCCCTGCCCTCGTCTGCAAAGAGGAAAACCGACCTCCTCTTCCTCCTCTTCTTCCTCCATCCCCTAAACCCAGAAGAGCTCAGCAGGGATGGGGCTACGTGGAACTCCGGGGAGTGGAGGGGTCCGGCGGTGAGCGGGGCGAGAAAAGGGTAAGAGGAAGAGAAGGAGAAAGAGAAGGAGGATGAGGAGCAGGAGGAAGAGGAAGAGGAGGATGAAGGCAACCGTCGCGCAGAACCCTGGACAGTGCGCGCTTCAGCACCGCGGACAGCTCCACAGCGCGCGGCCCGGCGGCGCCCCCCGCGCGGATCCCCACGCGGGATTTTCCCCGCGGCCCGAACCTCCGCTCCCCTCCACGGCTTTCCGTGCGCCAACCCCGCGCGCTGCCCCTTCCCCACGCAGTGGGGCCACGCAGTTCGGAGGCCCGCGTGGGGAGGCGGCTCTCGGAGTAGACGATGCTACATCGACCTCCCGTGGGAGCGCCGGGGGCTGGGGGGGCGCTGGCAGAGGAGATCACAGACAGCTGGGGCGGCCCACGCGCTGCCCGCACCGCGCGGGGCCGAGGAGGCTGCGGGAGGCGCTGTGCCCCCGCGGGGCGGGGAGGCCGCGGGCAGTGTCCTCCCGCCGGAAATGGAACTGCGGTCACTCGGCCCTTTGTCCCGCCCGGCCCCGGGCCCGCTCTCCCCGCAGCCACGCGTGGGTGGAGGGGGAGCTGGGATGAAGTCGGGGTCTCGGGGTAATCCCGCGTGCAGCAATTGGGATGTGGCTGCGGGAAGGTCGTGGCGTCCCCAAAAAGAGCTCGCTTTCCCTCGGTGCCCCCCCTCCCCCCCAAAAGCCCGGCCCCACGCGTGACCCGAGCGGCTCGCAGGTGGCGAAACGGCGTGGGGAACTCCCGAGTCCGGGTATGGGTGGGGGGGTCCCACCTCCTCCCCGTGTCTTCCCCTTGACAGGTGGCCTCGCCCCTAAGTGGGGGGGTCACACCGCCCCCCACCCAAATCCCTCCCGGAATGTGTCGCTATTAGCGGGGGGGGAAGGGGGGTTAATTAGGATCACGTGGGGGCGGGATGGCGGAGCGGGGCCCGGCGCCCCCCAGTCCCGCGGGTGGGTCCCGGCCCGGGTTGGGGGTGGGGGGGGCAGCGGGGCCGCTATTGTCTGCGAGAATTTGGGAGCCTTTGAAAAAACCCTCCCGCTCCCTCCCACCCCTATTGTTGGAGTGAAGATGGAGTCAAACCTCTCCCTGCTCCCTCCTGTCGGGGTCTAAGCCGGGCTTTTTTGTTGCTTTTTTTTTTTTTTTTTTTTTTTTCGGGTTTTTTTTTTTTTTTTTTTTTTTTTTGGGCTGATACCCTCAAAGCTGGCCGAGGAGGAGGAGGCAGGAGGAGGCGGTAACAGCCACAACTCGGAATTTGCAAGCGAGTGTCGGGATGGGGTCTGTTTCCAACCAGCAGTTCGCAGGTTAAGTTATATTATTGTCGCAGCCCTCCTCGACTCCGCGATTATTAATAACGGCGGCAGAGTCCGACGGTGGTCTGGGAGCCCCCCAGCCCCGCTGTGCCCCGCTGTGCCCCGGGCCCGGCGTGGGGGGATTTTTTTCCCAGCCCAGCGCCGGGCTGAGCGCAGGAGCTCAGGGCTGCCGGGTTGGGGTCAGTGGGGAGCAGAGCTCCCGGTGCTGCGGGGAATCCTCATCGCAGCGCGGTGTGCTGGGCTCGGAGGGTCGGGTCGGTGTTTTAGGGGAATTTTTCCGCTTTTGTTCTTTTGGGATTTTTTTTTTTCCAATATCTTTTCATTTTTCTTTTTCTTTTTCTTTTTTTTTCTTAAATTCTCCGTCTTTGTTTTTTGTTTTGTTTGTTTGTTTTTAGCCATGTATTTTTCTTTTTATTTTTTTTAATTCTTTTTTTTTTTTTTTTAGTTTTTTCTTGCCTAAACACTTCAGGCTGGAGAACAGCCCCAGCGCTCCCACCCCGGTCGCACGGCGATCCCACACGCACACACGTGCGGGGCTCAGCGGATCGCCGCGTTTGGGTCACGGCGGTCATTATTTTGCCTTTCCTATCCAGCAGGACCCAACCTCGGGCTCTTTCCGTTCCTTCCCGGAGGGGGGGCGGGGTACGGGACCCCCCCAGCCCCACTCAGGTGCTCGCTGACTCTCTCCCCAGGTGCGAAGCCGGGCGAGGAGCCGGGCGAGGAGCCGGACGGAGATTCACCCAAAGCCGAGAATGAGTCCCAACCCCTGCATGGCTCCGGCATCTGTAAGTGGTTCAACGTCCGCATGGGCTTCGGCTTCCTCTCCATGACCGCCAAGGGCGGCGCGACGCTGGACTCGCCCGTCGATGTCTTCGTGCACCAGGTGCGCTGCGGCGGGTTTGGGGCTGGAGGTGCTGGGATGCAGCTCCAGATGCTGCCCTGCGGATCTCCGTACCGCCGGCAGGGCGGGGACCGTTGCTACTGCCATCCCAAATTGGTGTCCTGGGGGTGACGGGACCCCCCGTGTTTGGGAGAGGAGGGCAGAGAAGGGCAGTGCAGCCCTTGGATTGCTCTCCAGGGAGCGACGCCGTAAATTGATCCTTGGGATCGTTTAATTTTCTCACCGCGGTTCACTGGGGAGCTCTTTGGAGGGCTGGATGCAGAGAGGCAGGTGCCCGTTGGTGGAAAAAGGGGTACATAGGGCACAGCGGAGCAGGGATGCTGCTCACCCCATGGAGGGAAAGGGAAAAGAGCTGCGTTTCCCCCACTGCCAGGTACAGGGTGCTCGGTGCCCCACACAGGGATGCAGGATGGGGCTTTCCCAAAATCATCCTCTGTGGGTGGGGGTTCAGTCCACGTGAGTCCGGGGACACTCAACCCTGGCAACTGGGGAAACAAAACCACCCATAACATGATGATGACATGCACTCGGTCCCTCTGCTGCGTTGTGGGGGGCAAAGTCCTGCTGCAGTATGCAGTCAGTGGGCTAGGGCTGCACTTCATCCTGCATGGCACAAAGCACGCGGGGTCATGCATGTGCCCCTATGGATTCCATACCATAACTGTGGTTTTGTGTCCGGGTTTGACCTGCATGCGTCATGCTGGTGTCCTGAGCCCAGGGAGACTGCAGCTTTGGAGCTGTGGCTGCTCAAAGACACTTCAGTGGAGAATGGATCCAGCCCCGGTGGGGACCATGTGCAGGAGTTGGGGAAATGGGACTGGAGATGGAGCCCAAACTGGGGCCACGTGGGCAGTGCTGGGAGGGAGATATGGGTTTGGTGCTGGGTGCTTGGCAACGGGGCTGTGCACTGAACCTGGGCTCCCGCTCCTCCAGGAAGCAGGGAGAGAAGAAGCTGTTGGGGATGGGAAGCAGTATGGGAGTGCAGGGGATAAGGATGTCTTTGGAGCAAAGTCGGGTGGTTTTGTGCATTTGATTGGGCGCAGGATGGCGACGGAGTGATGCTGGTGATAGGTCCTGAGGAGCTCCCAGCTCTCCTTTGGCAAAAAGGGCAATAGGGGAAAACCGAACCCCTTCTTTGTAGGAGCCGCTGTGCAGAAGCGCTGTTGGATTTCAGGCTGAGGTCTCCAAATCTGCCAGAGAAAGCTGAGCTCCGGGTTCTTCCCAGGGGCAGCAAATGGGAGTTTGCATATCAGCGCTGTGTCAGTGGGGGGGAGCCTCCCTCCTGCCCCTCTGCCCAGGCTTTATTGCCTCCAGGCAGTCTGGTTTCCTGATTGCTCTTGCTCACATTCCTGCAGGAAAAGAGGATGAGTGGGGTGTCCTCCTGGCACTCCCCATTTGTTGGGGCCACAGAGACCAGAGCAGGGTTTGGTGCTTAGAAGGCAGCGAGCATTGGGCAGTTTAGGGTACAGGGTGGCACTGGGGAGCCCAGAGTGAGTGCGTGATTCTCACTGCCCGGATGTATGCAGCAGAGCCCGGATGCTCCTGGTGCACACAGCCGCCAGCAGTAAGGCCATTTGGGGTTGATGCAGTGTTTCCATCACCACTCCATTTGCTTTTGGTGTAAAGTCACTGCTTTCCCGCAGTGAAGCCAACTGGGACTGTCCCACTGCAGGGCATTGCCAGCATCACCTCGACTCTGCTGAGCACCCAGGGAGAGCAGGTCAGACCTAAAGGGCAAAAGCCAGTATCGGGTCAGGGTGCTGCACCTGGCACCCACCCAACCATTGGGGTACAACAACCAGAGCCCCCCCAGAGCCCTCCCCTCTTCATTTACATATGTGAATGATGACCCACAGGAAGTAATTGTGGGAAAAAGAAGGGAATTGGCCTCTTTAGATCTATTAAATCACTTTATTACAGGAACCAGGTCTGAATGGCCCCACTCTGCAGGGAGCGCGTCTCCATCTCTCTCCCCCTTTATCTGATCACAAAGAGATTAAAATCTCGGCAGGACAGGAGACTAACAGGGCTCCTCCAGGGCTGCCTTTCCCTCTCATTGTGAGCTCAAAATGAGGCATTTGGGTTAAAATGCCTCCCCTGAACACTGGAGATGGATTCATTTGGGGGCTGTGGTCCTGGGCTTGCAATGGTGCAGGGATGAGAGGGGAAGTCAGTGCCCCATTGCAGCATTCCCAGAGCTCAATGCCTGCAGTAGAGCAAGCACAGCCCCACAGCCCTGGCTGAGAGCAGAGGGGATGAGGCTGCTCCCAGCCTTTCTGCATCTCATCTCTGTGTCTCAGAGTATTTATCCAACCTAACAAGCTGAAATCCTAGATAAAAGTGAGAATGTTTGGTAGTTTTGCTCCTTTTCATGATTTTTGGCATGGAGAGCTGCTGGGTGCAGCTGGGACTCAGGGGTGCTGCAAGGGTTCATTTTTTGACATCTTGGTGACATGGTCCCAAGTGGCCATACCAGAGATGTGGCCAGGACGTGGCCATCCTGTCCTGCCCAGACAGGGGGCCGTGGTTCCCCAGGTGTCATTGGCCTCAAGGAGGCCGATGCTGAGGGCATGGGGCTCCATCCCCACCAAGGGGTGTGGGGAACAGCACAGAGGGGCCACCCCTCTGCTGTAGGTTCCATGAGGGCTCCCTGGGTTGGCGCCATGCCCCTGAGCACAGCCAGGACTGATGCTGCTGGTAAGCAAGCGCAATGGGAGGTTTTAAGAAAAGCACGTGTTGGAGGGCAGCCCCATCCCAGTTACTGCAAAGGCACACACAGGAGGCTTCTCCCTGGAGTGAGAGGTGCTGCCCTTGCAGGGCTGAGCTATGGGGCAGGATGCAGCCCCATGGGAAAGGGAAGAGGCAGCACATTGGAGCAGCAATGCCTATGAGGGCAGAGGGGCATAAAAATCTGTTTTCCAGTCTGGTGTGCGATGCTTCCGCGGGTGCAGGATGGAGCTGTGGGATGGGGCACATCCCCTCGGAAGGGCTCCATGGGGCAGAGATGCACTTTGGCCTCTGCTTTCGAGGGGAGGAGCGAGCAATCCCTTTGTTTTTGTTTCTATTATTATTTTATTTTTATTTTTAAATAAGTGCAGGGATAAAATTACATCACAAAATACACTGCCGTGTCCTGGCAATGGGAATTGTTGGGAATGCCGCGTCTGTCTGATGGCAAATCGTGAAAGAGAGCGGCTTTATCCCAGCCTGAAACCTCCCTCAAGATGCACACACACAAAAAAAAGCCTCCTGTCTCTGTCTAAAGATTAACTGATGGCTGCAGGCACCTCCCTTCCCCCATCCGCTGCTCTCGAGCCCCCAGGGTGACGGCTGGGAGAGAAAAAAACCCTTACATGGTCTGCGAGAGAAAATGGTCCAAATGAATGGGATTTCTCCCATTCTCTGAGCTCCATCCCTGGCCACCCCCAGCTCCACCATTTCTGAACACCCCCCCAAATTTGTTTACTCCTAAAAATAACCTGGATGGAGACTGAGGGAAGGTACTGCGCTCTCGGACATGCTCCAATATCGGAGTATGAAATTAATATGCAGCAGCTGATCCTAATTAGCCTCTGCGTGGCCACTGCCGCTGCCCCCTCCCTGCAGATGGGAAGCACGTAGGTTTGGCAACCTAGGGCTGGTAAAAGTGAGTGGAAATGTGGGTTTAGGGCAGGTGACTGTTAAAGAACCTTATCGAATGGGTTGTTTTAACCCAAATTAACCTAGTGTTTCATTTTACCTGCTTATGGTGGAAAATGAAAAGAATGCCTGATTATTTTGGCAAGAAAATGCATTTATTTTGGATTTACTTTGAGGAAATTGGGTAGGAATACAGAGTCTGGAAAGCCCCAGTGATGTTTTGGTGCTCACTGTGCTGGGTTCCCCCATCCCTGTAGCACCCTTTCTTTCCAGCGATTACCCAGTGTTGGCACCAGTGCTGGGCTGCAGGCAGTCACTCCCTGCTCTGCTCCAAAGCTGCAACACCAGGAAAAGATTTGCTGTGGAATTTGGGAAGAGGGAATTCCAGACAGGAATCACGGCTGTGCCAGCCCAGGCTGGGCAAGCGTTAGCCCAAAGTGGGTGAGCGCAAGCCCTCTGCTCCCCTGGCACAGGAGTGAGGAAGGATCTGCTCTCTGCCAAACCCAAACTGGGGAAACACAGGCTGCCCCAATTGCCCAGGCCAGCTCAGCTCAGAGCTGCTCCTAACGCAGCATCCCACCAGGCTTGTTTGCCCAGAGATTTCGGTTTAAAGCAAAGCAATTCCCGTACAGATAAGGGCGAGGTGCAGCGGCTGCTCCGCCCGAGGCCCCTCTGGACACAAAGATGATTTGATTGAGTGGCCGGGGCTGGCTGGAATAAACGTCCCCTTGTGTCACGCTGGGGAGGCCACGGGGACAATGGTGACCCTGGGGCCGGCTGAGCCCCTCCAGCGCCCAGCAGAGTGGGGGCAAAACCGAGGCTGCCACAGAGCCTCTGCTGCTGCCTGGGGAGCAGTGTTGGGTTTGGGATGCTCCAACCCCAAAGGGACACAACAGGGGGTTTGTGGGATGAGGAGGTGGGAGGTGCAGGTGGGGAAGGGGGAACGGGCAGAATTGGGGTGCGGGATGCACTGGGGCAGTGGGCAGCGTTCAGCTGCTCTTGTGCTGTGGCTTTGTCTGTGTTAAATAACGGTGGTGGGGCTTGGGATGGGTGGAGGGTCCGCAGGGGGGCTGCCTGGCAGTGCAGGGAGTGGGGACAGGCAGCGTTGGTGCTGCTACTTCTCCTCGTCCTACTGGTTAACTCTGAACCCTACTGACAACAAGCAGAACCCCATCAGTACCTATGCTTCAAAACACAGTTTTATTACAAATGCTTTGTGTTTGAGAACCGGGGGTCACTCCACACCCTCCCCACCAAAACCACCTCCCCAAGACCAACCCCAGACCAGTGCATGGGGAGTGGAGCTCAGGAGGGCAACCACAGCACAGCAGAGGGGCTGCCAGCCCCCATAGCCAGTGAAGAGGGTCAGTGGGGCCGTGTCCATGCCGGCCACCCTTCCTCCCCCCGTCGTGGCCTGGAACTCCTGGAATTTGGCCGGCGTGAGCGCGGCCAGCCCTTTGTTCTTGCTGGCCAGCCCCGGTGGCTCCCAGCCCAGGCCCTCCCCTACGCTCCCCCTCACCAGCATCCCCAGCTCGCTCTGGGCCCCCCTTCCTCTCTTTATTTTTTGGGGAGGGGGGGGGTGTGGAGGCCTGGGAAGGCTCCTGCTTTGTGTGTGGTGTGGGACAGGGGCTCTGGGCCCCTTCCTTTCAGATGCAGGAGGTATGCAGCTAATTCAATGGGCTGCAGTTTGATTACCTATCTGATAACAGAGGAATGCCAGCAATGTGTGTTTTGGGAAGGGGGCAGGGGGATGCGCAGGGACCACCAGCCACTCGCAGCTCACTTCAAAAGGCCGCAGCGGGGGGAGAGCTGGGGTGCCCTGGCCGCTGCCCCCCTCCTTCCCCGGGGAGAGGGCGTTTCCTTTGGCCTTTTGGCGGAGGGGGCCGGGGGCTGAGGAGGCTGTTGTCATCCTCACCCGCTGCTGGAAAATAAATAGCTTCCCCATCATGTTGCGGCAGCTTTGGCTCCAGTCCTCCTCTTCCTCGTCAGCCAAAATGCGGCAGCACTGGGGAGAGAGATGGGGGAAGAAGGAGATCATGATCATGGATGAAGAGTGGGACCCAGAGAATGTGCCAGGGTCCCCCCTGCCATGGTGCAGCTTTGACCCATTGCATGGAGCAGAGTGCTGGTGAGATTTGGTTGCTGGCAGTGTAAACACAGCTGGGCTGTAAACATCCCAGTGGAGATCTGTGCCGGAGATGGAGGTCTGCACAGGCAGCTGCCTCGTGTCCCCCAGCTTCCAGCAGTGCCTCTAGTGCCACCAAGCAGAGCTCAACTCCTCCATGCCCTGAACAAGTCTCCTGTTCAGGTGGTACTCAGCAACCTCTGGGTGATGATGCCCAGCACCCCAGAATCATTAAGGTTGGCAAAGACCACTAAGATCATCTAGCACAACCATCAGCTCATCACCACCATGCCTGCTAAACCATGTCACTCTCCTGGTGATGCTCAGCATCCTCACCATGATACACAGCCTGGGGAAAGCTAAGCTGAAACTGGGTACTGATGTTTATGGTTACACTCAGCTTACCAGGGAGCTGACTGGTGGCAGGCCCTGTGGAGCAGGTTTTGGCACTGTTTTTGGCAGCAGAGGCCCTCAGACAGAAAAGGTGGTTCTGTCTGGAGGGTCCCCCAGTCCTCATAGGTGAGCAGATGTGGGTAATGTGGCACTGCCCATGTGGTTTGTCCCACCCTGAGCCAGACTCCAGGATGTGGTGGTAGGGACTAGTATGGAGAAAGCCCCATGGGGGGTTTGGGAGAGGAAACAGGGAAAAATCAGCAGGAAAAGGGGCAGTTCCTCAAGCCCCGTTGCATTTCCACTTCTTCTGTGTGCCCACAGATGCATGCACATCCTGCAAGATTGCACTGAGAAAAATCACTCCGAAACATCAACAACTCAATTTCCTCCCTCTCTGCTTTCCTGTGCGGTGTCCCCATGTGGATCCCAGGCAGATCTGGGAGTGTAGCAGAAAAGGAAGAGGGAAGTGGTGCGGCTGTCCTTGCCGGGCAGCGTGCCCATGTTGCATCCCTGTGGGAAGCACGGGTGGCCACGTGAGGGAACTTGCAGCCCATGAATGGGAGATGCTCCATTCATAAAAGCAGGGTCCTACGGCTGCGCGTCAGTGCCGAGCTCTGCCAGGAATCCAGGCCCAGCAACACAGAGCTGCTCCTCCCTCTGACAGCAAATCCCTCTTAACTCTTTGCTCATCAGATTTCCACTAACAAAGCAGACCAAAACCTCTGCTCAAATGTATGCTTGGGATGTGGCGGAGCTGGTCCAGCAGCGATGCTCATGCTATGGGTGGCAGGAGATGTCGGGTGCATCTCCTCTCCCTGTGATGTTGTTCTGCTGAAATGGATGTGTCTCAAAAAAGCAGAGTGGATTTTTCCACCCCCTCCTGCCTGGGTTCTTCTAAACTCCCATATTTGCTTTCAGTGTTGCTCTGCGTTGATTCCAGTGGGACAGGGGATGCCCCCAGCAGCCACAGCCAAATGGCAGCTTCATTGCTGGGTCACTTAAAGGGTTGGAGCTTTAGGGTTACCCTGCTCCAGCACCCAGCTCAGCAGCTTTTTAAGGATGCTCTTTTAAGCATTTTAAGCAAAAGCAGCACAGAGTTGGGGTGAGCTAAGGCCAGAGGAGAGTTGCTTTTGGGAACAGCCGTGTTATGTCACAACAGGCAATAGCAACCTTTGGGCCCCAGAGAAAAGCTCCTTATTGTTCTGCTGAGTGCAGCGGGAGGGACCAGAGGACACTGCCCCGAGGGCCCCAATTCCTACTCCAGCGTTCTGCATCCTCTACAGCTGAGCTGTGGTTTGGGGTGAAATCTTGTGGTCGTGCATCCATGTCCCTCCCGTTCTGCTTTTCAACGGGGAGGAGAGGAGGGCTCCACGTGCATGTGCAAAGCCTCGAGATCCCTTTGTCTCTTCAAAATGAAGTTTTGAATTTCCCTTTGAGTTCTCAGCCTGCAGCTTCGGGAGCTTGCAGGGTGCAGTGCAGGGTTGGAAGGGGAGAAGGGGGCTGCAGGTTTGCAGTGTGAAGAGCCAGCATTTTGCAGCAAACCCTGCAGATATTAGGGTCAGAGCTCGTTTGCTGGGTTAGTGAGCCCATCTCATCTCTGCATTATCAAACAGATGAAAAGTGCACAGTCAGGCTCAGTCCTGATGCCCACTCCCTTGGGTATGGGGGAGGAACATCAGCACCCTGGCACCATGGGATGGGACTCGTGGTGTGCAAGCACCGACTGCCATCCTCTCCTCCTCAGAGCAAGCTGCACATGGAGGGCTTCCGCAGCCTGAAGGAAGGTGAAGCCGTTGAATTCACCTTCAAGAAATCCTCCAAAGGTTTGGAGTCCATCCGGGTGACCGGCCCAGGGGGCGTCTTCTGCATTGGCAGCGAAAGGAGACCCAAGGGCAAGAGCCTGCAGAAACGTAGATCGAAAGGAGACCGGTAAGGGGCAGATGGGGCCTGATCTAGGGCTGGCTCTGAGCCCTGCGGGTGCCAGGAATTGCCTGGGGCTGGGCTTTGGTGGGGGCTATGTGGTCAGGGACCCCTTGTGTTGCCCTGTCCTGCCCACTTTTGGCCAAGGGCTGCAGGGCACGGTGTGGGCAGCGACCCTTCCTCTAAGAAAGCCACTTCCTCCAGCACTTAATGAGTGGCAGATGCAGCTTGGTGGGGAAAGGGCAGAGAGGCAGAAGCAAGAGGGCAGAGGTCGGGGACACCCCGGGCTGACGCTCCCCTTGTGTGTGGGAGCCGCACTGGGCTGAGCTGGGCAGGGGTAATTTTCTCAGAGAGAAACCCTTGCTTGTGGCGAGGAAATGACCGGACGTCCTGGCAGCGGCTCCTACAGGGAGGCTCTTGGGCCCTGGAGCCAGTTCTCAGCCGCCCCTCAGCCCTGCTGCCCGGGATGCTGGATCTCAGTGTCCCCAGCAAGACTCTGCACCCCAGCAGGGCTGCAGCTGCACCCCCGAGCTTGAGGCTTCCAATCAGTTGGGAAGGAATTGGGGAAGGAAAGGAGCGATGCTCACAACTTTGGGTTTCCCAGTGAGTTAGAAAACTGGATTCTGTCTGTTCCTGTTGCACCAAGCACTGGCAGCTCCTACCATGGAGTAACCTGTGATGCAGCTTCCACAAACCCAGGGTCTATTACCACAGTGCTGCCAGAGGGCTGTGAGCCCCCCGTTTCACCCCCATGTGCTTGTTTCTTGATTGGGTTGTTTGGGTTTGCTGCCATCTCCTGGGTACCAGCAGCACCACTGGGAGAGACCTAAAACCACCGGGGAGCAAACCCAAGGGCCACCCCCGGCCCCAGTGAGTCCTCTCCTTTTGTTTCCCCTCCTCGAATCTCTCTCCTCTCCACACAGATGCTACAACTGCGGCGGGCTGGACCACCATGCCAAAGAATGCAAGCTGCCTCCGCAGCCCAAGAAATGCCACTTCTGCCAGAGCATCAGCCACATGGTCGCCAACTGCCCCGCCAAAGCTCAGCAGTCGCCCAGCTCTCAGGGAAAGCCTGCCTACTTCCGCGAGGAGGAGGACATGCACAGCTCAGCCCTGCCCCCCGAAACCCGGGAATGATGGCGGGCGGCAGGGAGGGCTAACACCAGGATGGAGAGGCTTTGGCAAGGCAAACGGGGAGGGATGAGGGCAGAACCTTATTCTCCTTAAAGCCCAGCTTTAATTGGGGTGACTCCAAAAATAGGAGGGGGAGCATCCAACGCACCTCTCTCAGATAAGATAAATTAATAAATAAATAGGTTCATCTTAATTCTCTGGGAAGCTAGGAGGAGGAGCAGGAAGGCTCAGCTCACGGAAGCTCTGGTGGCTCCTTGCTCCCTGCCCCACGGCCGGAGCAGGGAGAGACGAGAGTGGCAGGGCTGGGGGGGCTGCCCGCAGGCCGGCCTCGTGGCCCCCTCAGCTCCTCACCCCTGAAATTGGGCTGGAAGTGCTGATATTTTCCCCAGAGAGCAGCACACGGCTCAGTAGAGCTCAGTCTTCTGCGTGGATCAAAGCCACGTGGGACAAACACTGCTGCTCCTCCTACCCGTGCTGCATCAGCACCCTGGGCTGAGCCTCCTGTAGGTACAAGAAAATGGGGACCCGGGGTGGCAGTGGCTGCCCTCATCCCTCCCCAGCCTTGCCTTTATTTATTGGCCCCAGTGACAGCCCTTCTCCTGAGGCCAGACGCCCCAACCATGCCAAAGCCAATGCCAAGTGAAAGCTGCACTAGGATGTGCGTGAATGACGTATCTTTGGGTTTGTTTGTTGTCTTTGGTTTGGTTTTTTGTTTTTGCCTTTTTTTTTTTTTTTTTTTTTTTTTTGCCTTTTTTATATAAATATTCAGGTTTTGTATTTTTGTATATTTTAATCTTTAAGAAAAGAAGAAAAAAAAAAGAGAGAAAGAGAAAGGACCTAATTCCTGCAACTTATTCTCAGGTATTCGAGCAATCTCAGGGATAAAATACCTCTGCAGCCCATTGCTGGACGGAGAGGAGGGTTTTTTCTAACAGCACAAAGATGTGACAAAGTTTGTATTGGAAGTGTAGATCTACCTCACTGGATGTTCGCTAGGTGGATTGATATGTTGTTGAGCTTTTTGGTTGTGTTTTTTGGTATGTTTGGGTTTTGTTTCCTTTTTAACTGTATTAATAGAATCTCTTTCCCTTCTCTACTGGACTAAGGAGGAATTTGGGTCTGTGAGTCCATGCACAGGGATGGAGAAGCCAGGCAGTGCTGCAGGGCAGGGAACAGCTGCTAGAGCCCATGTTGGCTCCCCAACTCCAGATTTTCTCCCAGCCCGGTGGTTTTTGAGGACTGTCCTCCATTTCTCTCTCCTGTTTACATGCTCCCTCCCTGCTGCCCCGTGGGAACACTTCTGTCCACCTCGTGCTGGATTCCCCATCGCCTGTGGGCTGGGATGCCACACAGGCTCCCAGCAGGCCATGGGGATGGTGACCTAAAAGCCAGAATGGGGATCCCAGGGCATGCAGTGTGAGCTGGCAGCAGCCAAGGAGGGTGCTGAGAGACTGAGCACTGTCCCAAGCCCTCAGTTGTCCCCAGGCTGGGACCTGCTGGTACAAGGGGCCTGGTGCCAAGGTGGACCCAACTCATGGCAAAGGAGGGCAACCGCTCTATCTCTCTGCTCCCTTCCTGGCTTTCCCCAGACGTGGGCTCAGGATGGCTGGGGGATGCTCTGCATCCCTTCTTTTGGGCCATCAATACTCCACAGCCCGGGGCTGCCTGGAGCCTTCCAGTGAGGGAGTTTTACCATGCTGGTGTCTCAGGACATGTGCACGATTTCTGATGTTCTTTACTAGAATGTAGGTTTAGATTGGAGCAGGCTGGACCAGATGGAGAGCATCTACTCCAACCTCACCGGCAGCAATCACTGCACCCGATGACCCCTCTGGGGTTTGTTTCTGCCCCAAATCTACCCCCTGCCATGAGGCTTGTGGGGTTGCAGAGAAGCTCCTAGATGAACCTGCCCTGCTCCAGTAGTTCCTATGGTGAGGTGGTGGTCTCTTCTTGGGAGGGTGGGGGAAGGACCTCAAGTTCTCGACTAGTGATGAGATTTAGACTAACCCACTTCAGGAAAACTGCTTTTGTCTGAACGGGGTAAATGCAATAGAACACACCAGGCTGCGTGTCTAACCCTGGGCTTCAGTCCCAATGTGGGGACTGCTGGCCCACCTTGGTTGCCAGTCCCTGGTTCTTGTATCTGTTTGAAGAGTCGTGTAGGACCGTTCCCCCCCGCCCCATTTAATAGTTTGGTGATTTTCTGCTAGCTGCCTAGTATCTGTAAATATCTCTGTAAATCTTTCCTCTTTCTCTCAGTATTCTCTTTGATTATTGTTTACAAAAGTAAGAGGGAAAAAAAAAAAAAAAAAAAAAAAGGAAAAAAAAATAGCCAAAGCATCTAATAGATTTTGGACCAGGGAGACAGGATCTTCTTTGTGTACTCTGCCTTGCAACTCTGTGGGGATATGAGTTCTGTAGCCATCCCTGTCCCTAAAGCAAAGAGCCAATGGCTTAGAGAATCGCTCAGGTTTTCCCCGAGGCCAGTACGGCACCGGGATCCAAGAAAACAGGGATTTAGTCTGTAGAGGGAAGCCAAGCTGGAGAAGATGGAATTGACTTGAATCTTCTTGTGTTTGCTGCCAAGGTTCTTCCTGTGTCTTGACAATAATTAACTTGCTGCATCGCCCATGCCCACACTCGGCTCATGCTGGGCACTATGCATTGCGGGACAGCAAACCGCAGGCGGACGAGGCTGCACTCAGGGTCCTGCTGTAACCAGGCGTTTGAATGTATGAGGAGAAATGGCCCTTCCCAGGTGGTGTCTCCACTGGTGTGAATGCCTCAAGTCACACAATCGTCTACAAGGAGACAGAAGAATGTAACTCCATGTTTACTGCTAGCAACCAAAGCTTGTTTGTGACAAACTCAATTGTATGAAGTGGAGGATATGTAGGGGTGCATGTGGCTCTGCTCGGCTGCGCTTCCCAATGAGGTTTCCTGCTGGAATCCCCGCAGCCAGGGCTGAGTTCCTGTTGCTGCAGATTTACCCCCTCCTTTCCTCGTTTGTGATTTTTTTTTTTTTTTTTTTTTTTTTTGTACCAACTATGTAAAATGTGGGGTTGTGTTGTTTTTTTTTCTTTTCTGGAAAAAATAAATAAACAAAAACCATGGGCAATGCTGCTGGTGATGTTCTGTGTGCTGGCTCTTTTTTTTTACCTGTGGGCTATGGGTTGAGCAGCTCATCCCCAAAGCAGTGCTAACAGCAGACATAATGGTGGTCCACGGATCCCCACCCAGTTCTACACCACAGCTTCTTCCACCTGCTGCAGGCCTGCAGCTCCCATATGATCAGGGGGCTGGAGCACCTCCCCTGCGAAGACAGGCTGAGGGAGCTGGGCTTGTTAGCCTGGAGAAAAGAAGGCTGTGGGGTGACCTCACTGCAGCCTTCAGTACCTAAAGGGAGCCCGCAAACAGGAAGGGAATCAACTCTTTGAAAGGAGACAAAACAGCAGGACAAGGGAAAATGGTTTTGAGTTGAGGGAGGGAAGATTCAGGTTGGATGTCAGGGGGAAGTTCTTTGCTATGAGAGCGGTGAGGTGCTGGAACAGCTGCTCACCAGAGACCTCATCAGAGGCTGTGACGCCCCGTCCATCCCTGGAGGTGTTCAAGGCCAGGTGGGATGGGGCCCTGGGCAGCGTGGGCTGCTACGAAATGTGGAGGTTGGTGGCCCTGCATGTGGCAGGGAGTTGGAGCTTTGTGATCCTTGAGATCCCTTCCAAGCCTGGCCATTCTGCGATTCTGTGATTCTGTTACCAGCCGCCCGTTTCCAGAGCCTCAGCTCTACGCTCCCGAAGCTCCTCCGCCCCAAGGCCGTCAAGCACCCATCGCCCACCACCCCGCACCCCTCCTCCAACCACCACCAATGCTCCCCGTGCGCATGCGCGCCAGACACTCCCCGCCGTGTCTGCGCATGCGCGGGTGGGTGACGTAAGCGGAAGGGCGCGTCAGTGTCCTGAGGGGCTGAGGCGGCGCCGTCGGGGCAGGTAGCGGGCAGCGGGCCGGGAGGGGCCGGGGCAGCAATAGCGGCAGCAATAGCGGTACCCCGAGGGCTGGGGGGAGGCTGCTCTCTGCAGTAGGCCGGGTTTGTGCTGCCTCGTTCCTTTTCTCTCCCCTCGGGAAGCCGGCGGCAGGTTGAGGGGCGCCTCGTGGAGCCCGAGCCGTTCCCGCCGCTCGCTCCGTGGGCCGGAGCACCCCGCTGTCCTTGGCGGGCGGGCGGAGCCGTGTTGCTGCGGCCGGGCTCGGCCTCCTGGGGCCGTTATCCTCGGCTTGGAGGGCAGCGGCTGCTTTGCGGGAGCGTTTTTAAAGGTGACTGTGCGAAATCTCTGTGGAAGACGGATTGCTGTTAACGGCACTGGGAGAAGGGGTGCTTTTAGGACGAGTTATTCGAGAGTGGTATGGATGCAGCTCATGTTCCAGCGGGTCCTTCGTGCTTTGCGGCCGTATCTGTGGCCGGCCGGCCCTTTCTGAGGGCACCGCAGAGAATGCACGTGTGGAGAAGGCGTGCTGACTTTGCGGTTTGGCTCTGCTTTCCTTACGAGGCGGTCGCATCAGCCCTGCTGCCCCACAGCACTGCTTTGCACGCATCTGTCAGGGCTGAGCGCAATGGAGGTGAATGTGGAATGTCAGGAGACTGTTATGTCCTGTTTGCATAAAGCAGATATTTATGTTTGATGTGGTGAAAAGCGAGCTTTTTAAACTCTAAAGGCTGATTTTGTTCTACTTGTAAAAGAGAAGAAATCATACTGTAAAGTGATATCTGTAAAGCAGGCTGGGGGGTGGCTTATATGGTTGCTTTGCAGGGTTTCCAACAACTTCAGCACAAAAGCACTGAAGGTCATTTCACAATCATTGCTCCATGACCAGCTCATTGGTGGTCCAACGTAATGCAAGAGTTTGCTGTGTGTCTGTACAAGTTCAGCAGCTGTTTCTGAGGTAGAAGCAGTAAGAGTTTTAGTTTTATATCAGTTAGTAGAGCACTGAATCTTGACATACAGGTAGAA